AAGCTTGAACAAACTAATAATAAATAAGGAGATTGAATCAGTAATCAACAACTTCCCAACAAAGAAAACCCCAGTACCAGATGGCTTCACTGGCAAATTCTATCAAATATTTAAAGAAGAATTAATACCAATCCTTCTTAAATTCTTCCAAAAATCAAAGAAAGAAAACTTCTGAATTCATTTTATAAGGCCAGCATCACCCTGTTATCAAAGACAGAAAAAGACACCACAAGAAAAGAAAACTACAGGTCAACATCCCTGATAAACTTAGATGTAAAAATTCTCAACAAATGCTAGCAAACTGCATTCAAGAGTACATTAAAAGGATCATACACCACGATCAAGTGGCATTTATCCCTGAGATTCAAGGATGGTTTGACATATGTAAATCAATCAATGTGATACACCACATTAACAGAATGAAGGATAAAAATTACACGATCATCTCAACAGATGCAGAAAAAGCATTTAACACTCTTTCATGATACGACACTCAACAAACTAGGAAGAGAGGGGAATTACCTCAACCTAATAAAGGCCATACACAAAGGCCCACAGCTGACATCATACACAGTGGTGGGAAACTGAAAGCTTTTCCTCTACATCAGAACAAGGCAAGGATGCCCACTCGCACCACTTCCATTCAACATAGTACTGGAAGTCCCAGCCAGAGGAATTAGGCAAGAAAAAGAAACAAATGGCATCCAAGCCAGAAAGGAAGAAGTAAAATTATCTTTGGTTGCAGATGATATGATCTTATGGGGAGACAACTCCAAAGATTCCACAAAAAAAACTGTTAGAACTAATAAATGAATTCAGCAAAGTTGCAGAATACAAAATTGACATACAAATCAGGTTTATTTCTATACACAAACAACAAACATCTGAAAAGGAAACTAAGAAAACAATCCCATTTACAATAGCATCAGAAAGAATGAAATATTTAGGAATAAACTTAACCAAGGGACAAGTTGAGGCAAGACTTGTACTCTGAAAACCACAACACACTGATGAAAAAAATTAAAGAAATATATAAATGGAAAGACATCCTGTGTTCATAGATTAGAAGATGTAATACATGGTTAAAATGTCTGTACGACCCAAAGTGATCTACAGATTCAATGTAATCTCTATCAAAACTCAAATGGCATTTTTGGCAGAAATAGAAAAACAATCCTAAAATTTATATGGAGCCATAAAAGATCCCAGATAGCCAAAACAATCTTGAGAAAGAAGAACAAAGCTGGAAGCATCACATTTCCTGACTTCAAAACGTATTACAAAGCTACAATAATGAAAATAGTATGGTGTTGGCATAAAGACAGACAGAAAGACCAGTGGAAAATAGAGAGCCCAGAAATGAACTCATGCACGTACGGTCAAATGATCTTCAACAAGGGTGCTAAGACTACACAATGGAGAAAGGATTGTTTCTTCAACAAGTGGTATGAGAAAACTGGATATCCACATGCAAAAGAAAGAAACTGGACCCTTATCTTACACCATACACAAAGACTTAAACATAAGACCTGAAACTATAAAAATCCTAAAATAAAACATAGGGATAAAGCTTCTTAACACTGATTTTGGCAATGGTTTCTTGGCAACAAAAGTAAAAACAGAGAAGCGGGACTGCATCAAACTAAAAAGCTTCTGCACAGCAAAGGAAATAATAAACCGAGTGAAAAGGCAACCTATGGAATGTAAGAAACCATATATCTGATGAGGGGTTAACATCCAAAATATCTAAGCAATATCCTACAACTCAATAGCAAAAAACCCAAATAACCCCATCAAAAAATGGCCAAAAGACTTGAATAGTCATTTCTCCAAAGAAGATATACAAATGATCAACAGGTATATGAAAAGATGCTCAGCATCATTAATCATCAGGGGAATGCAAATCAAAACCACATGATTCATCACCTCACATCTGTTAGGATGGCAATTATTAAAAAAAAAAAAAAAAAAAGAAAACGCCAAGTGTTGGCGACAATATGGAGAAACTAGAACTCTTGTGCATTGCTGGTGGGAATGCAAAATGGTGCAGTAGCTATGGAAAACACTATGGAGGTTCCTCAAAAAATTAAAAATACAACTACCATATGATCCAGCAATCTCACTTTTGGGTGTTTATCCAAAAGAATTGAAATCAAGATCTTGAAGAGATATCTGCACTCCCATATTAACTGCAGCATTATTCAAAACAGCCAAGATGTTGAAACAACCTAAATGTCCACTGATGGATGAATGGATAAAGAAAATATGGTATAAACATATAAACAAATGGAATATTATCCAGCCTTAAAGAAGGAAATCTTGTCTTATGCTACAACAGGGAAGAAACTTGAGGACATTATGCTAAGTGAAATAAGCCAGTCGCAGAGGGACAAATATTGCATGCTTCCACTTACACGAGGTATCTAAAGTAGTCAAACTCATAGAAGCAGAAAGTAGAATGGTGGTTGATGGGCTGAGAGAGAGGGAAACGGGAAGTTGCTATTCAATAGGTATAGAGTTTCAGTCACGCAAGATGAAAAAGGTCTAGAGATCTGCTATACAGTAATATGCATACAGTTAACAATACCGTATTACACACTTACAAATTTGTTACGAGGGAAGAATTCATGTTATATGCTTTTTATCACAATTTTAAAAAAAGAATGCACTTAGAAAAGCTAAGAACATTTTGGAAAAAATAGTAATAATTGAAGTCTTGTTTTATTAGAAGTTAAAAGTTTTATAAGGCTTCTCTAATTAAAACCCTGTGGTCCTGATGTTATAATTACAGAAAAATCAAACTGAAAAAAAGAAAACACCTAAAAATACAAATATTTATGTATATGTGCCATCCATAATCAGTGAGAAAAGAATGGATTATTCAATAAATAGAGCTAAGACAACGGTCTCATCTTTTGGAAAAAAATTGTTAGATTCCAAATTTATATCATACAATGAAATAAATATGATTTTTTAAGATGATTAGAGATATTCATTTAGTTTACAACAGGTAAGGATTTTAGACTGGCAGGCAGAATATGGAAAACAGAGTTTTTCTAGCTCTCACTACGTCTTTCTAAGTCTTCATTAACGTTAAAGTCATATAAAACTTCCAAACACCAGATTCTAGATGAATATAGAAAAACACACTGCAATAGCAAATATAAGTATGCTGTTTCTCATTTTTACTAAAACTGCTTTCTTCTAGTCACAAACACAAATGAAACTGATTGTTCAAAAAAGTAGTGTGACATTATTGCAGGAACAGCAAACTATTTTAAAGTTTTAAGATATGGCTTACGTCCAGCTTTGCAAACATAAATGGCAAAATGAATCATGCTTCAATAGGATGTTATAAATCCACAAAGAATAATATTTTCAAAGAATATATATTGACATGGGAAAAGTTCTACTCATTCAGCTAGTCAACAAATACTATGTTGAACCCTGACTATGTGCTAAAGATAAAATAATGAGCAAGGAAGATATGATCCTTGCCAGTTAAGAATCTTGTAGTCTAGTGAGAAAGGCAAACAAAGATTACAGTGGTGATATATTTGATATAAAAGGTACAAGGAGATATGTAAGTATAGAGCAGGGGACCCGTTTACAAGTGTCAGGGAAGGTTTTGTGGGAAATGTGACATTTTAAGCTCAGATCGGAAAGATACATAGGAATCAGCCTAATCGCGGATATGGGCTGAGGTATATGCAAACTAAACACTCAGCATATAGAAATGCCCAGAGAAGACAGGGGTGGGTGGGGAGGGAGGACATACCAAATTCTATGTATACTAAAGGGCCAAATACATCTGCACAGATTTAGACTGAAAGTGTACAAATTATCAGTCCTTAGCCCTGGGTATAGAATTAGAACTATGAGTAATTTCTACTTCTTTTCCATTTTTCTTTCTTTTCTATATTTCCTAAAGTAATCACACACTACCATTTACTGTTTATTGACCAAAAAAGAATTATTAAAATAATACTATACTATTTACTAGCCTTTGGGGGGAGGTTGTTTTTGGTTTTATTTTTAATCTTAGATAAGTCTCTTAAGACCCAACTTATTCATTTGGCAAATAAGGCTAATAACATTTAACTTCACAACGTTGCTGACTTGGATCAAATATGATAACATATGTGCAGGAAAACGATTCTGTAATTGTGGCTGTTGGACCTAACTCAGTACCCGAGCCACCAGATAAAAGGGTACTGAGACAGAATTGAGGGGTAGGGAGGTGGTGGCAGGAACTGATAGTAGATCAGGAGGGTGAAAACGTGGCCCTGAGGAAGCTGGTGAGTGAGTTACTAATGTGTTGCCACTCCCCTCTAGCAGCGATGACAGCCAATGCCAATCAACCCTGATGTGTTCTCTTCTCACTGAGCTTAGACCCAATCTCAGAATCCTTCTCAACATAAGACTCCAGGCAGCCACCTGCATAATGGCGTGTTACTTGAGACCTTCTGCCATCACTAGCCTCAGAATTCCAAACATGAACACAACCAATTCTACAGTTTTTTTAAAGGCAGTTTGGTTATAAAAATGTCCTCTTTCATTTACATTTTAACTCTTAAATGTTCTGTTTTCTGTTAAAAAGTTATGATCTTATAGCACTTCTAGAGGTTTTGATTTAGTACTTGCAAGGCTCTGTTATTCGTCTATTATACCTGAAACAGAATACAGTCATATGCCACATAATGATGTTTAGGTTAACAACGGACTGGTGGTCCCATAAATTAGTACCATACAGCCTAGGCGTGTACTAGGCCAAACCATCTAGGCTTGCATAAATACACTCTATGATGTTCACACAATGACAAAAATCACATAATACATTTCTCAGAACATATCCCCGTCATTAAGCAACACACGACTGTAATTAAGGGACTTCAGCATTTTACAAATATATTTACATATATTTACAAATGGTGAAGTCAGATATACATAGGACTTTAGATTGTTGTTTTTTCACAAGATGGAAAAAATGCGTTTCTTACCTTTCCTCTGGAGTATCTACATGAAATGTTCTCTCTATAACAGTGGTCCACTGGAGACATCTGATGATAAACGTGTTTGGCTTTGGTCGTTCTGTTTTCATTAACTGGCATTCTAGAAATAAAATAAAATGTCTCTTTGAATATATTTATATTTAAATCAAGAAGTAAATAGTTGAGAAGTATAGAGTTCCATTCTAAACAAAACCACTGCAACCTCACAGCTTTCTCTGGATCTCCACTCAAGGCTGTTCACAGACTGACCTCAGTACTCCTTTCCAATCCATGGCCCATTCTGGCCACATGTTCTATCAACCAGCCAAAGTAGATAGTGAACTTTCCGCACATACATCTTGCTCTTTCCTATATCTATACCTTTGCTCCAGCTGTTCTTACCATCTGGAGCGCTTTCCATTTATTTCACCCCTACCCATACGCAATCACCATCAGTCAAAAGAAAGCCTATCCTTTAAGGTCCAGATCAAATCCTACTCCTTCCACAAAACCTTTTATAACACCTGGTCCTAGACTGACCATTCCCTGCCCCCCTCATATGCTCATTACTTATTATTGTATCCCTCATTCTTCACATAGCATAGACTACCATATGTTATTATTTATCATTTTTAAAAGGTATCCTTATCCCTACCCAGACTATAAGCCTTTTGACAGTATACATGCCATAAAACTCTTAGTAATTACAGCCCTTAGAGCCAGTCAGTCAAAAAGTGATAAAACCTGTCAGGGAATAACTGGGAAGACTTCAAAAAAAAGGAGCATAGTGGAGTGGCTAAAAGTATGGATTCTAACACCAGTGTGCTTGGATTCGAGTTTTTTTTCCTACCATGAACTATGCAACTCTGGACAACTGAATTAATCTCTGTGGTCTTCAAGTACTAAAAATAAGAGTACTTACATCATAAAATTGGTGTGGGGATTAATAATAAATCAATGTAATACTTAGCATAGTGTGTGACACATAATGAGTTTTCAATAAATGTTAGCTGTTATTATTAGGTGTACACCTGAGCTAGACTTTAAAGGATACGTGGTATTGGACAAGAGAAAGTAGGGTAGCTTGTCTCCAGACACTGTTCTTTTGAAAGAAACTAATTTACCCCAGCTGACAAATTCAACAGTACTTTCTCAGTGCTTATCTCTTTTGTCCTATCTCCATCATTAGCAGCTATCAACCACCATTTCTATGTCTTTATATGACTAAGTAGGTCATTGATCACATTGGACTAATTCTTTATTGACTGTACACTAAAAAAGATCATTCACCCAAGGGTCTCTGCTTAGTTTTCTTCTCTTTTCTAACAAGCTTTCATGGTTTCAGCCATCATCTCTCAGCTTACCAACATCAAAATCCAAACTTCTTTCTATCTTGGATCTCTATTTTATGATACACATGTCCAACTATACTGTAGATATTTCTACCTGGTTGAGTTACTGGTACCACACTTAAAACCAAATCCACTACCTTTCCTCCTAAATCTGTTCCTCCTCCTGGGTTCCTAATTTTTCCAACACCTAGACTGAAAACATGGGGTGATCTTCTTTTTGATATTGGTAGTATTTGCCATCACTACCTGGCTTTTCCACTGATGCAATTTCACTTCAGACTCTCACCACCTAATGCTGAAACCTCTCCAGGTGCTATAAAACCAGATCTTCCTACTCAGAGACCCGGAAAGGCTAGCTAAGTTACCTACAGATAGAAACCATATTCTAAGAGACATCTGAACTCGTGCACAGGTGAACTCCTGATCTCTCCTCCCCTTGCTTCCCCTGCCAACCTCTAAGATAGCTTTCTCCATCTCAGATGACGGCACCTCCATCCTTTCAATTGCTCAAGTCAAAAGCCTTGGAATTATCCTTAAATCCCTCTTCTCTCACATCTCATTCTGGAAATGCTGTTGGCTCTGCTTTCAAAATTTATCCAGGATCACTTGTCACCTCTTCCACTACCTGGGAACAAGCCCCCATTCTCTCTCACATAAATACTTTAACAACCTGAGAACATCTTCCACCTGCCCCTCACTGCAGTCTGCTCTCGACACAGGCAGCCAGAAATCTTAAAATGAACGACTGCAAGAAAAAAATCTTGCAACATTTTCAATTCACTAAGAATAGAAGACAAAGGCCTTCAGGGATCGACAGGAGCCCTACATGGTCTGGGCCTCCCATTCACCCCTTTCTGACCTCCTCCCCCAGGAATCTCTTTCAGGCCACTGTGCCAGCCACCCTGCTTCCCTGCATGTCCTCAACAGTGCACTGCACACTCTCTCCTTAGAGCTTTTTGTCTAGCTGTGCCCTCTGCCTGGCATCCTTTCCCCTCACACATCCCCACAGTTACTCCCTCATCTCCTTCAAGTCTTAGATCAAACCTAACCCTCACGTAAAGCCTACCTCGACCATGCTACTTCATACTATAATCCACATCCCTTACCCAGGACTCTCCCACCCCTCTTACCTGCTTTACTTGTTATTTCCCATAGCATGTTATCATCTTCAAACCTATGAGATGACTAACTCAACATCTTTCTTGTTTATTGTTTGTCTCCTCAACCAGAATGTAAGCTCCACTGATATATTCTTAGCACCTAGAACTGAGCCTGACACACAGCAGACACTCAATAATGTCTGAATGAATGAATTCTGATAGTAATAATCCAACAAGAAGGTAATTTTGATGACACAGGGAAGAGGAGAAAATTTCTGGAGCAACTTCTTTATACAGTCAGGAAAGGGTGGGATTAACTGGACAAGTAGAGGGCTGGCTCTAGTCAGGGGTTCAGGCAGTTTAGTGGTGAACAGAAGAGAAGACAGGATAAAAAGGCCCAAATGCAGTGAGGGGTACAGATGCAAGTAGGAGCTGGTAGAAATTATTTTCTCATTGCTTCTATTTTTTCAATGAATTAGGATGTAAAGCCATCCTTAAGAACAAGATCTGAAGAGGATGCACTAGGGCTTTGAGCACAGAGAAGGTATGTAATAGGCCTCTAGGAGAACAGAGGAGCAAACAGACTGGGGAAATGGACCATGACTGCTGAGCAGCACTAAGGGCCCACTGGAATTTAATTACCAAGAATTTAAACTAGTATCAGGGATCATGGTTGTGCATTTTTCCCCAGATACATTCAACTGCATGGGTACAGATGGGGAACACAGAGGATTGGATTTAAGCAAAGCTGTAATTTAACCAAGTAAGTCTGACAAAGCAAGAAGTGGAACAGCATAGAGGATGTAAGACAAGGAGTGGTTTAGATAATCAACTAAGGAATTTAAAATGGGTAAGGAGGGAAGTGAGAACCTGGTGGTGTGTAAAATAATGAAAAGGTGGTAGAATCAGCAGGTCATAAAATCTACTGTTTCATAGTTAAATCTTGTACAGCTATATATTTTTTGAAATACGAATGTTAAAAAAATACCAAATATAGTATGCCAATTTTTATTTTTTGTTTGAAATATGGAAGTTTTAAAATATCAAAGATATTATACCAATTTATAGCAATAAAGAACCACATAACTTCCTCTGACTTACTCCACCTATAAAGTACAGACCCCACCTGATTCTCTTTGAAGCCCATTGTCCCGTCTCATTTCCTTCTTTACAAAACTCCCATTAAGTTTCCAGCCGGTGGTTCACTATACTGTCATACAGGTGTTTAATACACGTGACTTTGGTGTCCTAGCTAGATAAATTACTTAAAAGTTAGGAATTATGTGCACAACTCTTCCTCACAGCACCTACGATAGTGACACCACATAGGCGTACATAGTAAATACTTGATGACTGAGTAATTGACTAACTGGCTTTTAATGTTATCAATGGAGGACAGACACTTAAAAGAGGGCAGGCCTGACAGAAATACTCAAGAATGAACTATGCAGTAGAGAGAAATAGGAAGAACAGAAAAGGAAAGAAAGAACGCCCAATCCTAGGTTCACCTATTTCAGTTTCACTTAAGGTTCCCATGATAGTGATGTCAAGGTAACTAACATAACAGACTTTAAAATCAGAACACCAGATTCAGATCCCACTTCTATCACACTATCTGCTGTGTGATCCTAGACAAAGTACTTTACGTCTCTAAGCCCCGAGGTTTCTCATCTTTAAAAGCACTATCAGGAATTAAAGTAAAACTTCAAAGAGAGCATATTTTCAACACTACATCTATCGAAGTTTAAATGCTAAAATTAAAGAACGTCTCAATACTATAATTTTAAAAGCTACTAAAAATACTACATATGAGATTCTAAGTGATTATCAATTACCACAGCTTACAAAAATTATAATAAAAGTGATTACTTTAATTACCATTCCCAAGCAGACCCCTAAAAATGAATTGTTTAGAAAAGAATCAAATATTTGTATTTACCTACAGGATGGTTTTGGAAAAATATTAAAATAATAATATAGTGATCTAAGTAGTTATGCAGAACTTGGCCGTTTTGACTAAATATGCTAAGTATTCATGGACTCAACAACATATATGAAACAAATTACAGGACAAGCACTATGCAAGATTCTCGACATAGTAAGAAAAATGAATTAAGAAACTCTACGAGCTTACAGCACATACCAAACTTTATTATTAATCATTCTACACGTGTAATTATAAAGTAATAATTCACTACTGGTATAAAAGTTTTAATCAGGTCCTTCTAAAGCCTCTAGTGCAACAAAAATGTTACATGTAATTACGAACAAGTAGTATAATGCAAACAAACCTATATTTTATAGGTTTCAATATGAAATACTCTATAAATGAATCCAATTTCTAAATAATACCCATTAGATTGAGACCATAGAAGAGAGAACTGGCTATCAAAAGCTAGTTCAAGGTATTCAAGGGGTAGTTGTGTCAATACCAAGAGAACACTCTACCACAACGCTGCAGGTTTTACTGCTGTACCTAAACAAATGTAATTAAAGAGCTGAATCCAAATTAAAAACAGCTGAAATTTAAATTACCACGTTAAAACAAGTGAGCCGGTAAATAGAAAAACTTTGGGTTCTTTTACGTTAGCCATAATATGGAATCATGAACACATCCTACAGTTCTCTGTAAAATGAAGAAATATATATGAAAGTGAGCAGAACATGGT